CCCCTGCATCGGCAGGCGGACTCTCAACCACTGCGCCACCAGGGAAGCCCTGATTGTTTATTTTTAAATGGTGGTATCCTGTTCTTGTTTCAAGGATGCAGCTACCTTCTCTTATCTTTCTAAGGATATTTATAAAAGCTTTTAATTTTTAAAGAATTCTACCCTGTGCATTATCTGTTGCCTCTTATTTTTTTGTTTTCTTTTTATTTTAGGCTCCATCCGCTCCGTCCACTACATTGGAGAATTTCTTCAAATGTCTGGTGATATTTGGCTGTCAATTTATATACATACACACACACACACACATATATAAACACACACATACATACACACACACATATATGTATTTTTAAAATTTACCTCTTGAAATGATCTTTTTTTTTTTTTAAAGAAATTTATTTATTTATTTTTGGCTGCACTGGGCCTTCATTGCTGCACGCCGGCCTTCTCTAGTTGCAGCGAGCATGAGCTACTCTTCATTGTGGTGTGTGGGCTTCTCATTGTGGTGGCTTCTCTTGTTGCGGAACATGGGCTCTATGTGCATGGGCTTCAGTATCTGTGGCTCACGGGCTCTAGAACGCAGGCTCAGTAGTTGTGGCGCACAGGCTTAGTTGCTTATCAGGGATCAAACCCGTGTCCCCTGCATTGGCAGGTGGATTCTCAACCACTGCGCCACCAGGGAACTCCCAGTCTATTTATATTTTAAAGTAAGGTACTAAAATGCTGATTAAGCATTCTATGTATATCCAGGGCTTGCTGATTGGTGGCCTTCATTCTAGGACAATCAATGAGGTGGCCAGGTAGCTTTTTAAATTGAGATCCCCCTAAATGTCAAGTTCTGTCAGGTTCCTATGGGTTCCTGCTTGGGGGAGGTGGGAAAGAGAAGAGATGGCCATACCAGTTCACTTGAGCTCCTCAAACGGGGCAGGGAAAGGATCGGGCAGGCCCTGGGGTTCAGAGTACAGATGCTGTCTGACACCAGTACCTCTTGCTCTGCCTGGGGTCTCTAGGGGGAGTGTGTCACAAGCTGAATTTCTCCCCAAACTATAGATTCCTATGAAGGTAGGGCAGCTACCAAGGGGCAGGAGAGGACCTCGGGTCTAACTGCTCTGTATCCAGACTCCGAATTAATCCCTTTGTCTTCACCTCCCTCTGGCCCTCCACAATACCTGTTGATCTCACATCCGGACCCTTTCCGGGGTTGCATAGGGCACACCATCTCATTTCTGACTAGTGTCTCTTTCTGAAGGCTTTCTGTCCCTTTCCTGGGTTACACTTAACTTCGTTCTGCCAAGTCAGGCCCTCCTCCATCTACCGTCTCATGCACGTTGGTCTACTCTCCCATTCTCTCATAGGTTTATAACTTTGAATTCTTTCACTGTCATTTCAGTGGGGTTTCCTTGGGGTAGGAGGAGAAGGACAGATTAACATGTATACGTTCAATTCGCCACATTAATCAAAAGCCTCTTTAACTGCCCCCTCATTGGCTCCTTCTCATCAGCATTAAAATTATTTTAAATCTTATTTTTATTTTATTATTATTATTTTTTTTGCAGTACGCAGGCCTCTCACTGTTGTGGCCTCTCCCGTTGCGGAGCACAGGCTCCGGACGCACAGGCTCAGCAGCCATGGCCCACGGGCCCAACTGCTCTGCGGCATGTGGGATCCTCCCGGACCAGGGCATGAACCCGTGTTCCCTACATCAGCAGGCGGACTCTCAACCACAGCGCCACCAGGGAAGCCCTTAACATATTTTTAAGTGGATGATACCTTACTGTTGACTATAACTCATCAGCATTGAAACAATCTCAAGTTTCTCCAACATTAAGGAAAATTAGGCTTTTTTTTTTTTAAACCGACTCTCTTTATTTACTTATTTTTTGGCCACGCCCTGCAGCATGCGGGAATCTTAGTTCCCTCACCAGGGATTGAACCCAGGCCTTTGGCAGTGAGAGCGCGGAGTCCTAATCACTGGACTGTCAGGGAATTCTCTACTGCATTCTCTTTTCCTTCCAAGCCAAACTTCTTGAAATAGTTGCCCACACTCTCTCATCTCTACCTCAACATCCCCAAGTTCTTCGACCTTCTGCCACCTCCCTTCTAACCCCATCGCGGAAACGCTTCCTGTAAATATCCCCCTTAACAGATCCAATGACCACTGCCTGGTCCTCACCTTACTTGAATCTCAGTAATACTGTGTACTCACCCCTCAAAATATGCCGTCCCTTCGAGTCTCTGACCTGGTACTCTCCTTACATCTTCTTACCTCTTTGCAATGGGATGCACACTCCTTAGCAGGGCTTGTATGGTACAGACTATGCTTTCCACGCCGGTCTCACCTCTTGCCACATCATATTCCAGTTCTGTGCTACAACGCGCGGAACTTCTTTCAGTTCCTAGAGCAAGCCATGCCCTGTTTTTCTTCTGGTCTTTGTGCATCCTATTCACTTTTATTTGGCCAAATTTTGCAAATTCCCTATATCTGTGTTGAACGCCCCTCCTAGAGCACACTGTATTTCCACTACCAGCATGTTCATTGAAAAGTACTGCAATTGCCCACTTAATTGTCCAAGCTCCGTGAAGACAAGACCCACAGCGATCTTTTACCTTCTTCAAACCTGTATCATTAGAACTTCTACGATGGCTAGTGCATGGGAGGCAGCCAATAAATGTCAGTTGAGCGAATGAATAAAGACACAATCAAGAGAGGGGGAGAATCAAATACTTACAGAAAGACAGCAGAGCAAATGAATCTGGTCTACAGAAAAAGACTTGACACTATAACCTAAGTTCTTTTGGTTGCCTATTTCTATCTTCTTAACAGTGTATCTAACAAATGGTCATCATCTTTTGCATAAAAATAACCAAATGCATAGTCAGAATATCAGAGCATCAATACACCATCTCCACAGGCTTAGAGAAGGCCAACTGTCTAAATGTTTCAGTATATTTAAAATCTCTATCTAGATACATCACTGGGTTTTGAAGGGCTGTGGGAATGACAACGTTTTATTCTGGTAGTTATGGTATAATTTAGGTCACACACTAACATAGGTCTTTTAAAGACAGAAACATTTCTGAAAAAGAGGCAGATTAGCTCTGTTGCGAGAATAACCCATTAGCCTGCTCAAACAATGCGTGTGGTAGGCTCCGAAGAGGAAAAACAAAACCCAGCTCGAGCAAAACTGGATTTCTAGCTTTTGATTGTCATTTAGTGAATGTAAGCCAAGTTCTCAATGCGCCAATGTCCCAAACGACTTCACCGTCATGTTGATATGCCTATCACTGGGCAAGTATCTTCTTTGGGGGCATAACAAGATGTCTTCAAAGCATGTTGACATTTAGTTATTTTGAATTGTCTCTAATATTTGACCACAGTTAGCCACAAGTAAAGAGCCTATCTATAGAAAACATGTCTATCTGCAAATAGATGTTTTCAATGTGAACTATAATAAATACCTTGCTAGATACTATATTCCCAGCTGGAGAAACCTAGAAAGAACTCAGCAGTTGTGTCTAGTCTCTTGATAATGAACCAGCCACCATGTGGAAAAAGAATGTTTTGAGCTCAGAAGGAAGAAAGAAGAGGTGTTGTGATGAATTGCTTTCCATTCACTTGTCTAAATAGATATTACTTTATTTCTACTATAGCTGAGTCTCTGCCCCAAAAAGAATTCATACATTTATAACTGGAAAATTGTCTCTTCTCAAATAAAAACAATCTCTCCATCAATAGATATTCTAGGGCAGAGGGAGGGAGGAGGGAAGGGACAGACACTCCTATACTTGTCTTCTCCCAGAAAGACCCAACAGCAAGTCGAAGGTGACCCTAGGCATGGTTTACAGGAATAGGAGTCCTCCATGACAAAAAGCACAAGTAAGGAAAAAGTTCCAAGACAGAGACACTGCCCTAGTATAACCAAAACGTTGGGTGCAGCAGGTACTTTGGAGGCACTGCCCATGACCTTCCATGGCAGTGACTCTGGGAAAAGAAAACCTCTGCCTCTGCACACCCACCAGTGTGCAGTTCAACCAGTTTTCACTTGTATTTAAATGTTAGAAAGTGTGGAACTCACCCAGGAAACCTCTCCCTGCCCACATCACCACCACTTACACATTCCCTGCAAGGAGGGCAGGAAACCCCACACCCAGTTGATACTATGTGTCCGGACAGACTATGAGCCATGTATTAGCCCAAATATTCACATTGTTCCTTCCATCCTTTCCTTCAAAACTTCATCCACCTATGTGAAAATATATGCGAAAAATCTTGCTGATGAGTTAGTACACTAGACCCAGTCATTGCCAGTTTCAGTGCGAATGAATAGATAAATGAGTACTTCACTCAAAGCATACTGTGGTTGACTTTTTTCTCCATTACTGACCAGTTCTTAATTTTCTAAAACCACAATCATTATTGACCTTATACCATAATATCACGTGACATATACTGCTTCCTTTGACGAGACTCCCCCGCCTCTCCCTCCTCCATGCATCTGCCTGACTCCCGCCTGCCTTCTCAGCTAGCTCAGAAGATTGTTGCTCTTCCAACAACCCCTCCTTAGCCAACCCTATCTCTTCCCCAATTTCTCACAACAGTCCTTCTCTTACTGAATTCAGTAAGTCCCTGAGTGGGGTTCCAAAACCATACTCTGCATATGACCTCCACAGGAGCAGTGACACAGTACTCTGTGCAGAAGACACATCTCCCCAGCTAGTCTCTGAACTCCTCAAAGGCACGGTTTGTCGCTCATCTTTCTGTTTCAGTTCATAGCACAGACCGGACAGCCTGATACTGAGTAAACAATCTAAACTGTGTGTGAGATGAATACACGAACAAACGGATGACGTTTAGACTTAGAATTACAGAGATGAGTCTTTGGAAAACATTTAGTCCAACCCACTTCATACAAAGCTCCCTAAACAAGTATTTCCTAAGAGTTATGTTCGATAAAACATGAACATTGTATAATGAAAACAGAATACAATAAAAACCTTACCGGCAAAGTTCCAGGCAGAGATGCATCAAAAAAAGATACCAAAGAATTGGGAGGTGCTGCAAAGTCGACTTGAGATCCAGAGAAGAGTTTGGAGTTGGAGGCAATCTGGGCATGAATCTCCAAACCTACCACAGCTGCCCATTCACGTTCACTAAATAGGAAGACAAAATGGTTAAGAAGTTCTTAGATCCGTCACCATGCATGAATTTCTAAGAGCTGAAACCACAAATGTTAATTTTCTATTTGTGTTTTTAACTTATTAAAATTTTATATCCTACTTTAAAAAAGGTGTCATACTGTACTGGTGACTAAATCAAAAGCAATGCAACATGAACACCTACAAGGCCGGCAAAGCAAAATTCATTTACAACATGGCATAAGGAGAGTTCATTGTGCAAACAAGAAGGTAACAGAAAAGAACAATTTGGCATCTGAAAACAATTTAGAAATGGGTATCAGGTGGTGACTGCTTGGCTGACTAATGAAAGAAGCATTTTCTAAATTAACTGTGCTTTGTCAATTAGTCGGTCAGCAAATGAAGAAAGCTGATCTTGTGAACGTTTTTAGAATTAACATAAACATCAGGATTTTACTAGAGAAATAATGGTAAATAGTTGCACATCTCATTATGAAAAAGGAAGGGAAATTCTCAGTCATGTTTGGAATTCATTTTCTAACAATGGTTTGCAAGTAAAGTAACCAGAGTGACAGATATAACAGATCACCACTAAATGACACCCTTCCTGGGAATTTTGTGCAAAGGGAAACATTAAACCATTGCAAGTGGCTTTTTTTTTTTTTTTCTGGTTCCCCAGATCACTTTAAATTCCAAAGATCTAGTATCAGGTTCCTTTGCTTGTTTTATACTTGACTGCTACCAAACCTAAGAAGCTGCAATAATGCAACCTAAATGCTACAATAATCTCTTATCTGGCCACTCCTACTCTATTGGGTCTGTATGAACATTCCATACAGAGGTCTCTCCAGGTTCTTATAAGTGTGCTTATTCCATGGGTTATTATTAAACCCATGTATCCTGGGCAAACTAAAGATCACCTGGTGTTCACCTACTCTCTCCATAGTCTGCCTCTTCCTATCCTGCTCTTCCCCCAAGCAATTTTCTGTATTATCGAATTTTTTGTTTACATGTATTTTGTTTCCATGTATTTGGTTTTGTTTCAGTCATTTCAACACATGAAGTTCTACATCTGTAGTACTGATGAATTCCTTCTTTTTAAAGTTGGGAAGCACAACCTGTAATTGAGAGGAATTAAACGAAGAACTTATCAGAAATTTGCATTCACTAAAACCTTATTCAATGTATTTTTGCAGTTTCATTACATGAGAGAAAAAAATACTTTACATTCACAGTGAGACAACCTAATTTACGAAAGGAACAGAAACAGTGTTTCTGGACATTTTCCCTCTGTTCCTCCAACAGAAAAGCAAAAATAATGGCAACCTAACTATCTCAAAAGAAAAACTGAATATTAGACACATGCCTTATGTTTCTGTACTTAAAAATAAACTATTTAGGTCTCATATAGTGATATATAAACAGCTGTTCAGTGGATATTAAGCAAAATAAACAACACTTTCTACATAACCAGAGGGAAGATCTCTTGTCATTGGCTGCATTCTCCTAGGTCTAGACACACATGTTCAAAATGAAACGCCTCCACAGATAGGTGGTGTTTTCTGACTAATAATTTACAACACTGCTGACTCGCAATAGCTCTAAATAAATGTCAGGTAAATAAGATTCATCTTCTACTGTCACCGACCCCGCTACTGGTGCTATTAGTTAAGGTAACTGAATCCACTCTTCTGTCCGTGCAGCTTTCGAGTCAGGAAAACACGTGCTATTTTACACTCGCAAATTACCCAAATATGCCTGTCTACCTGAAGACAGCGGTTTACGTGTGGGGACGGGGCTGATAGAGGGCCAGTTTCGTGCTTTCATTTAGGTTTCAGAGCTGCAACTTATAGCCCAGCACCTCCCGCCCACCAAAACGTCTAGATTGAAGGCTGGGCTGTAGTGGCCATTATCTCTCCAGTCCCGCAATTCCACCTCACGCTTAAGCGGGGAGTAATGGTACGAAATAATATACCCTTTCCTCGGTTTCTGGGCCGTGATGAGGGGCTGCTGAGCCACTGAGCTCTGTCCCCTCTTCCCGCTGGACGTGGACCCAGTTGGAACCCCTCTTCCGTGGCAAGAAACGCCGCCAATCCCGGCGAAAACCCAACGCCTTCCAGGACAGCACCAGCGCAGGACGGGCGTCGCCATTGCCTCTCCAGAGTCCTGGTCAGGTGATACAGCATCCCTCTGCCGCAAGGCTCTCTGGGAAGCGTAGTTCTGGAAAGGGATAAACTGTTCTAGGCTCGGACCGGAAGACTACTGTTCCCAGGAGGCACTGCGACTCGAAGACTTCCGGAACCGGGAGGGGAGGGGAGAGGAGGGAATGAGAAATAGGGGAGAGGGTGGGAGGGATTCTGTGTCGGAAGGTGTGACTTCTCCTAGCGGGGAGCTGGAGAGCTTTGTAGGCGTGAGCACGTGTGTGAGTTTGAGAGAGAGCAGGTGGTGCCAGAGATCCAAAGCGGAGAAACCTGGCCAGGATTTTATAGCCCAGTTAACCTTTCGAGCTGAAGTAAATGACCTTGACATCTCCGCGAAGGCTTCGTGAACCCCAAACCCACTCAGTAAATTTTTTGTTTCCTTTTCCACTTCACACACCAATTTGTGCATTAATGCAACAAATACCTATTTGCATGCCAACTATATACCAGACACAGTTCTTAGGCACTGGGGATTCAGCAATGAGCAAGGCAGTTATGGCCGTTCTGCTCATGGAGCTTACGTTACTGGTAGACGAGACGTACCGAAAAGTTAACGAAAATGGGATGCTTTCACATAGATAATAAGGACTATATTTCAGCAGAGGTGCTTGGAGACAAACAGACCTAGATTGAAACTTCAGGAACATTTTAACTGATTCTTTTTGATCCTGGCCAGTATTTGAAACACTTTCCTTACCTACGAGGAATTGATAGCAGCTACCATCATCCCAGTGGACTTCTGTTTTCCTGCTTCAAAACTCATCCCCTCTTGAAACTCCCACTGATTTCTTGTATTTGAACACACAATTTAGAATAGCCATTCAACCATTCTCTATTAGATCACCCTATTTTACAACTCTGCATAGTGCTTATGACTATCTAATGTCTATATCCTGTCTCCACTAGCTCCTTGAGAATGGGGAATTAGTCTGCCTTATTCAACACAGTACTACCAGAATACAGAGTAGGCCCCTCAAAAATATTTGTTAAATGAAGTAGCGCAGTGTGAAGAATGCATTTGACAAGGGATGGAGTGGATGCCCTTTGGAGTACTAGTTGTGTAGAAAGGAGATGATGAAATAGTGTGGTGGTTGAGGCAGAGAGAAATCGACCTCTGTGAGATAGATTAAGGTGAGATAGATTAAGGAGGTGAGATTGAAGGACTTGGTGATGGATTGGATATGATGATGGAAGACTAGGTGGGGGTCAAGTAACTCCTGAATTTCTGGCTTGTACAACTGAATGGCCGATGAAGTTATTCACTGAGATAAGGAAACTAGAAAAGAAACTGGTTTGCAGGAAAATATGACTTTGGTTGCCTTGGAGACATACAAGAGGAGAAGTCAAATAAGCATCATTGATGCCTAACTGCGTATGGTATGGAGCAGGGGGAAAAGCTGCATACTTTATATATTTCACACTGATAGATTTGCAGTTATTGATCAATAACCTGTTGATCGGGACTACAGTGGAGAGGAGCATCCTGTATCTTGGAAGTGAGCATGGGCATTCTTTAACCAAAAGGACAAGGAGATCCTTGCTACCTTCCCACTGATAACCAGCCTACTTAGGAGGCAATTCACTCCCTAGCATGAAGGGTTTGAGGGTGTTTGGAAATCACTGTAAGAGAGAGCAGCACACCTCATGAAAATTCTTATTTATGGGCAAAATGTGCTATAATGGAAACTCATCTTTGTTTATGAGGTAGTATCGTGTAGTAATAGCATATCCCACCCCACCACTAGAGGGAGAGAAAATCCTATGCATGGAAGTGTATTTGATTTCTTTAACAAATGGACACCTTCCAGATCGACGCATATGACGTAGTCCTTTAAAAATCCTGCAGGACCTAATGTCTCCCTTCTCCCCCAAGATTATCTGTCATTTCCGGAAATGCCCGTTGGTCTCCTCGTGCTTGGTCTAGTGTCTAGGGGTGCATTGTTTTCCCTCCTGCCTAGTCAGAGGCTCCCACCAAACCCCCTACCACGGAACCATTTCTCTTGCCTTCCTCCTGCATGCCAACTCTGATATCTATCAGAATTCTTACTGACAGCTCTCTAGCTGAGAGAGTTATTTTGGTTTCACCGAAAAGGTGGCTGTCATCTGGAAGACACAGAGATTTTCATTTTCAAGAAGCTCAGAAAGTGGCAGGACAGGGTTCCTAGCAAAAACATTTTCTTAGGGAGAGTCTCTCAGCTCTTATTTTATTCACATAATTGACATAGGACAAATAAATTTAGAACAGGTTCCTAAAAAGATATGGAAGCCAGGACAGAATTTCGAGTTGTTACTTATAAACGGCAGTAGTTAGGAAGTATACCTAAAACAACATGCTTGGTTTTGTTTAGTATTCTTCAGAGAGTCTTTGAATATCAGAGTTGGAACAGACTGGCTTACCTCTGTATTTGACTCTAAATCCCCAGGTATCTGTATAAACACATTGATTTCTTAATACAAATAATTTCCCCCCCCAAATCTAAGTGGTGGTTAATTGTAATCACTTTCTTTCTCATCCTTTCACGGGTTTGAGATGGGCAAAATGATGTGTGGAAACACGGTATTCTAGGATTTATAACTTCTTCAGTATCACGAGTACAGTGTGAGGGAATGACACAAGTGGCTCTAAGTTTCCAGTTTTTAAAATGAAATAAACAGTTTTAATGGAAACATTAAAATTTCAAGTAAAACTAAAAGGATATAGTTTCCACTCCTCATTTTAATAATGTATCCTGACAGTATATCTCAAAATCGATTTGTATACAATTTTGAATCTGAAAATTGTGTTAACTAACCTATTCTTTGATTAATGACTTTTGCTTTCTGGAAACAGAGGCAGCACTTTAACGACATCTAGCAGACTAATAAACATAATGTCCCTTGCAGTCTAACAGAGCTGGATGTAGAGGGCTATCTTAGTATTTTTTAACACAGTTGTGAGTTTAGTTCCTCTGTGCAACTGTTAGTTTCTATCTGTTTTATGGCTACAGCAGCTAGCCTGCTGCCTTGAATGTTACATCATGTGGGGAGGGAGGAAGGAAGGTCAGGATAAATTCTCTAAAAAAAAAGTCCACTTCAGATGATGTACAGATGACAAAAACTGACAGCATCATTTTCAGGTAGGAAGAACATTGGCACTAGAGGAGAACCTGTTTTTGAAAAAGCATTCTGAAAGCATAAAGTTCCTTTTTAGAAAAACCACCTTGTAGGACCCAGTTGAGTGTCATTAGGGGAAGAAAAAGGGCTTGGACCACATGCATACTGGGCAATCAGGAGAACAAGATTCATTTTCTTTTATTTTACAATTAAGTCTTTATTCTGGTAAAATACTGATGTGGAGGGAACAATTACTTTTTATGGAAGATTGCTCTGAGGCAAAGAAATCTATTAACTTTTTCTTCCTTCCAAAGCAGGGAAATAGAACACCCTGTCCAATGTCTTTGTAGAGATGAAGTGCTGTCTGGGGAAGATGGGGCCAGTGTATCGCTGCCGTGAGGCTTGCCTGGTCCATGAACTGTCATCTCTCCACACCCTTTCTTCTTCTATATGGTTTCAAGGGATGGCTTGCTGTTTTCCCAGGCTTTTGCTTTTCTAGAAATCTGACTAATCCTGGAAGCAGTCAGGAATTATGTGTGGAAGCTCCACCTTTCCACATCCTCCTGACTCAGCTTCCTTGAAAGAAAATGCTCCTGAGTTGCAAGTATTGGCAGTAGAACATGTTCAACTCTGTGTGCCCGGAAGCTATGTGGTCAGATCTCTGCTATGCACTAAGAAGCTCTTTCTTTTGTGTTTTGGAATCGGGTATTTGGCCTTTAAAGTTACAGAGTTTGTACACACACACACAGCTAAGCGGTGTCTTTTTTCGGGATCTTGCACAGATAATGATCAGAGGCTTTTAGGTTTCAAAACATGATGGTTTTGGATGTCAGATGGTTCTCTTGATTTTAAGTCCAAAGATTATGAGGAGTACAATGGTACAGAACTATGCCACCAAGACGCATAAGCTTTTTTTTTTTTTTGCGGTACACGGGCCTCTCACTGTTGTGGCCTCTCCCGTTGCGGAGCACAGGCTCCGGACGCGCAGGCTCAGCGGCCATGGCTCATGGGCCCAGCCACTCCGCGGCATGTGGAATCCTCCCGGACCGGGGCACGAACCCGCATCCCCTGCACCGGCAGGCGGACTCTCAACCACTGTGCCACAAGGGAAGCCCAAGACGCATAAGCTTTGATGACACTTTTCCCTCATTGGGTGAACCCCTACTTGATAATTGAAGGGAAGATATATCAGAGTCCACCAGCGTGCTACAGAAGAGAACAGATAGGATCATCTTGCACATCCTGCCAGGTAATCGGTGTCATTACCTGTGAGTATCTGAACTGGGATCTCTGTATCTAGGCTGCCCTTGAACCAAGAATGGATGGGCTGCACAAAGCAATAAAGGCTGAAATCTTATTGGCGGCAGAGCCTTAAGGGCTCCCCACAGTTCAACGTATGGCTGTTGAGGGGAAATTTAGTACTCCACGAAGAGGTGCCAGATTGAATTAAAATCAAGCAGCTTAATTCAAATACATTAGCACCCAAATGATACAACTACTGAGATAAATGCAAAGAGAGAGACAGCAAAAAAATTCCCAGCGATTCATGAATACTAATTAGGAAGGGAAAGACCAGCACGGACATTATTCATGTCTCCTTGGAGTCCGACTCTAGATTCTATTCTTATCAAAGAATAAGATTTGATAGCTTGACTCGAAAATGATTTCAAGTTGATGTTGATTCTACACTTAGACCAGCTTTCCTGCTAAAAGGCATTTTCACCCCTTTCTCATGTAGTAGTAATGAAAAGAAATGATGTTAAGAATAGGACTGGTTACTGTGTTTTTCAAAAGACAAGGGAAAGTAAGATTATGTAAAATGCCACCCTAGCAAATAACAAGGGCCCATCTAGCCTAATATTCTCTCTGTGTTCATTCTCTAGAGCTGTTATCTTTATTTTGGCTG